CTCTGGAACGCTCGGTACTCGTTCACGATCCTCTTTTTTTACGATGAGATATAGAGGTGACTGTGAATGTTAGAATAATAACGATTTCTAATTTAAAATTCGTATCCCTATGATTTCGATCCCACAGGAATTTTAATTCTTAGAGAATTAGTTCAAGGAAACTTGCTGTCTCCACGGCTTTAGCGTAATTTGGAAAAACAAATTTTTAATCGCGAATAAAGTCCAAAGTGCAAACACCTAGGACTTCGAGTCCAGCGAGAATGTTGAATAATCGCCGTGTTCCTAAATCTTTGGGCTCTTCGAATAAGATACTTTGCTTAATCTTAGAAACTTCGCGAGCTTTAAGTCCTTAATTTGTGAAAATGCGCGAAACCCTTTTGAAACGTCACCCAATTTCCCAAATCTTTATGATTACATTATATATTATACATATATATACATACATATAAATATATTTTTAGGCGTAATATATATGATTATAACTATGCCTCACGTCGAGCTGAGAGACGCGGCGATGTCGCTTGTCGAATTAGTCAAGCGTTTCTGTGATTCCTAGACTCGGACAGTGTAACGACGCTGAGGTTCTCATACTATTAACAAAAAAATTTACGCGGACGATAGCGCTCGTCTTGCGTCGGGATTCGACGGCCACTGTTGATTCCTGGCAAGGTTTACTTTTCATTCATAGCCATTCGAGTGCCAATCCGAGACTTGACTCTTTGAATGCTTAATTAATAGAGAAGAAGCGATTCATGAGATTAAACAATCTAAATTGTAAAGTCAGTTGCGAAATATGAAACCACTTGTTCCATCTTCGAATAAATTATATAATAATTTATCTATTGGATAAACAAAAGAGTAAAAGAATAAGCATAAGAGACAGTGCGAGTTGAAGTTTACCGAAAGATGGAACAAACCAGCCTTAGAGCAGTATTCATACAGTCGGTTCTTATATTTAAGATTGTTAAGATCATAAAACTGTATCAGCGTCTTAAGATATTACTTAATTAAAACAGTCTTGAAATAATAAGTACAGTACTATGAACACTGACTTCAGATATTTCGCCGCCGATTACGACGTTCGCGTTTTTTTTTTTTTTCATAGTTTGATTAGCTGCTTCAGTCGACTAAATTTTATTCTTTTGTAGCTGATAATGTCTTTAATTATTCGTAAAAATATTTATGAAGCTCATTTTACACATAGTTGCGCGGATATGCACATACATATAATTTTTTTATCCTAATGAATAAATAAATATATAAATAAATAAAATTTTAGAGGTAAAATAAATAAAATACCAGCAATTTGCCAGCAATTCGTGCAATATACTGTAGATTGGCGTCATCTGCCTTCTATTACAGCGTGGCGATATTAAACGCATTAGATTCATGAATGGCTGAAAATATCAATTATTATTGTTTTTACATATTTAAAATAGTATTTTTTTTATTTGAATACATTTTCAATCAATAAAAACACAATATTCATTCATCAAATATTTATTAATTTTTATAAGACAAAAGAAATATATATTTTTTAAATATTTTGTTAAACTATCTTTGTTGGCTATGAGAGCTTTTTTTTAATAATAATGTCATGTAATTAAATTGAAGTTCACTATGACAAATGAATAAGTAAAATGATATTTCTGTAATAGGAATAGAAAATACATACTTTCCTTGCTGTTGTCTCTATTAATAACAGGTTCATGCCTTTCATGAATATATTATAAATAACAAGTGAATGATATATCCATTAAAATGCATCCATTTTATAGACAACCATTGTCTTTACATATTACAATTAGTTACGTCAATGATTGAGTTATAATATAATATAAATTTGAACCTTGGAAATCAATAAATTGTAAAATATATGACATTTAGTAATATAGCCAAGGACTATAAATTTTTCCAACAGAGCCTGCCGACATAATATATCTGACCAGCAAATTGCCAGCAGAATTCGTCATTCTGCAGCTATTTAAATGGAATGTATCATTTAAATGGTAACGAAAAGATAGAAATTTTTTCGATTTCTGTAGTCATCTGCCATTGTATTCCGTTAACTGAATTCTGTCGCATTTCCGCTGGTATTCTGCCGACAAAATTTGAAGGGTACATTTTGTAAAATCTGTTTTTGACAGATTGACTGTGTAGATGACTGTATATTTATAACGAAATTACATATAAACGATGGCACGTGTAACGGAAATTTGCATTACAGAAAGTATTTCAGGAGTAAAGTGTCGAAATTCGTTAATTATAATTAGCGTCCATATGAGACGAGTTATTATAATTACGATTAGTAGTTTAAGTTTAACATAACGGGACAGGGATGCTATCGTCCGCGTCGCTTTAAGGAACAAATTCCACGCAACGAATCTTGAAAGTAGTCAATATCTAATCAATTCCGAGGATAGGATCAACTATCTTAGGGGATAAATTACATGAAAGAGACAAAGAGGGAAGTATAACCCCAAATAAGATTGTAAGTGGGAGGACGTTTTTCGACGGAGAACGATTAAGTATCTTCCATTATTAGAGACTCGACATCAACGGTGGTGAGCGTTAAATGTGGGGTGCGATTGATGCGAGGAAGTGTGTACATACGTCACGTGTATTTAATTATAATAGCGACGACAGAAACGTAGCGCATATTTTTAAAGGAGAGAAAATATACGAACGCCATGGCACTAAACGACCGATTAAATTGCGAATCCCGCGTTAAAAATAGGGCCGGTCGATACTCTTTAAAAACTAGCGTTAATCACGAAGCTGATCGATCATTATTAACGAAGGAACGCGCGTATGTAAACTATTACGATGTCTATGAACCAACGCGTTTTCATGCCAAGAACAAATAAATTTGCAAGTCAGAAGGATTGCGTTTTGGATCTTTATTATTTCCTAATTTCCTCCTCCTTTTGTGATTAATTTCTGCGATTAGTTCACTATAACGATAAAAAAAAAGAAGAGAATAAATAACAGATAGAAAAGATTAAAAATTTAATGACTTATTAGTAATTAGATTGTAGAATAAAACTAACATATTGCTTTTTTCATCACTTACATAATTAAAATATACTATATGAACACAATTATACGTATATATATCCCGGCAATCCCTGAGATCTCTTTCTGCGAATGTCCTTAGGACGTCCTTCAGAACATTCTTTAAATATTTATGTTACATGAAACATTTCTTTTCTTATACAAATTCCTATATTTTGATGGTTTTTTCATATAAATTCTTTCTAAATTTTAATTTTATAGTGTAAGTCAACTTTAACATCAGTTTTTATAATCTTACTTGTGTATCTTAATTAATTTAACAAAAATTATAATCTTTTCAGTCTAAAAAAATGTAAATAATAATCTTAAAAAATTTGAAAGGTATTGAGATACAAAACCATAATTTCAGAATTTAAATACTTTAAAAATTTTTCAATTATAATTAAAACGATATATTTTATGAAAATTTTTCTTATATGCATTTTACAAATATTTTCTCAAGATGCCTGTTAAGTATATATTGTAAGAAACATTTAATAATTTTTTTATACTTGTCAAAATGATGAAAATGGACCTAAAAAAGATCGTGTTATTATAAATTAATATTGTGATCATTTTCGATCATTTTGTATCTTTCCACAGAATGGATCAAACAAGAAAAAAGTAAGTCAAGGGAATGTTCAGTAAAAATAATACAGTATATTCGTATTGTATATAATAAACTGTATTTTTTTTATATGCCTATGTGCGTGTCTTTGATTTTCCTGTGTGTTAAATTGAATATTTCTTATTCTAATATCATTTCTTAGTTTAAAGACACATTTTACTGTTTTTTTTTTTCGAATTTGTATGGTTGCAATCTCAACAATAGTACGAAATATAGCTGGTTAGTATAGCAAAAAGAATTTTTATATACAAGGTGATTCTAGTAACTAGGCTAAATTACAATTATTTTCAAAATAAAAACAGGAAAAATAATACAGAATAATCTGTTTAGTATGATCTATCGTAAAATTTTTTCAAATAAATGTACTTGTACGTGGTATAATAATATATTAGAGTACTTAAAATATATAGCACATACAAGTATATTTTCGATTCCTTAACACTTATCTAATACTTTTATATATAAAATAGTAAGAATTGATTTATACGCTAACAAATCCAAGTCCATTTAAAAAGAGAAATAAAGTTGAATCTTACTAACCTAGCTCAGTTACTAATTAACAGAATCATTTTGTATACGTGTGGGCTGATCAGTTCAAATTAGAATTGAATTGAATCGAATCACAGTGCATTAAATTCGATTTAATTTTCAAATCTAAAATTCAAAACCTAATAATAAGTTCATAATTTCAAATCATCGGTGATTCGATTTTTTGTTTCATGCATGTACAATTTTTGCGTGTATCTCCTGCGATCTACATATCTTATTTTTAGTATTAGCACATAATAATGTTTTACATGCGCATTCATCATGTATTGTTAATTATCATTAGTGGGCACTATTGCGTTGAAAACAAGCACGCACGCACGCACACACAAATGTCTACGTAAATTATTTGAGACAATTATATAATGCCAATAAATACATTAGTTTTGTCTTTCAAAGTTTAAGAAATCTTGCAATTTAACTGTATTGTAATAAATAATAACTAAACAAACAAAACTTTTCTTCAAAAAATTATTCTATTTTTTAATGTACTTCAATACGTTAATATTGAATATTGATCCCATCTTCATTATTAATTAATTTGAATTAAAGTATTATATCAGAATTTTAATATTAAGATTTTCGTTCAATTAATTTTGTCATATAAGTAAATGTAGAATAAAAATTTAATTAAAAAATTTAATTTAAATACAAAAATACACAGAGAAAAAACTGCATCATAACGTAATTATTTACACATTATACAAGAAAAAAGTTCTATCTACATAATCTTATAATTACAGAGACTTTAAGTAATCGTACTGTTGCAATAAGTATAATAAAAGTATGATTATTTTTTATGTAGCTGTATATATATTTGAAACATAATTCTTCTTGACACGCTTTAACAAAATCAAATACTAAAAGTTAATTCGTTTTTGCACTTTGCATTTCCACCGTCTTTGTTCCTTCAACAGGTTTTTCATATTCCTTGTTCACATCTTGCTCATTAACATTATTTGCGGATGCAGTTCTTGACCAGGAGCAACTCCTACGATCTGGTGACTTTGGCATAGACCAGGAACTACTGCGTGATCTTCGTTTGGGTGATGTAGATTGTGATTTAGCTCGTGTATTTTTGACGACAGAAGATGACCTCTTTCGTTGATTCTTGCTACAAGACTTGGAGCGACTTTTAAACCGTGAACTTCGTCTGGACCTAGAGCAACGCGTTTTGGAACTTGACCTGGATGTACTGCACAATTTGTTATTCTTGTGTCTGTTAGAGTTCGATCTTGACCTTGTTTTTCTTCTCGAGCAAGATCTACTTGCCGATTTTCGACGACTGCGCGACCTGGAACGATTTCTCGACAAAGACTTTGGTCGATACGTTCGTGATTTTGATTTGCGCGATCGCGATTTCGATCTGCGCGATCGTGATCTCGATTTGCGCGAACGTGATCTCGATCTGCGCGAACGCGATCTCGATCTGCGCGATCGTGATCTCGATCGCGATTTTGATCTGCGTGATCGCAATCTGGATCTTGACTTCGACCTTCGATCACGACTCTTGGAACGCGAACCGCTGCGTCTTCTACTACACGATCTGGAGATACTCCTAGATTTTCTCTTAGAATCCGATCTAGTCCTCGTTCTTGAGATAGATCTACTTGTTGATTTTTGGCGGTTACGCATTCTCGATTTCTGCTGCTTCGAATCTCGCTCGACTAGATGTGTAAAATATTCGTAATATGGTCCATTATACAAATAAGGATTTGTCAGCGTATAATTCATCTCATATCGTGGAACAAATCTTCGACCTCTGCCCATAGATAACATGGGGTGACGAAGTGGCATTGCAGAATATCCTGGTGGTCGCATCATCTGTCTTCCCGTATATCTCGGCATTCTCATTGTATGGAATGGTATCATCGATGGTAATACCGACATCGAATTAGAATAATCGTAAGGAAGATTTCTTGCCATAGCACCTATATATATGTATATATAATTAATGTTATATTTTATTATTTTTATTCCAAATGCATAATAGATATTTTGTATGGCCAAGAATTACCTGTAGACGAAGTTGCACCGTCGCTCTTTATCAAGACACTCTTGAGTCTTTTCTTACTTGTTTTTTTATCTAATTCTTCCTCAGTTGTACTGCCTGAATCAGAGTTATCGCCCTTTTTTCGTTTTTTCTGCGTTTTCCGCTTTTTCTGTAAACAATAATAATATTATTAAATTAATACAAAATATTATTGCAAATTCTTAAACTGCAACCTTAGTTGCAATAACTTTCAAAGATATAAAATACTGTAATTTAGAAACGTATTTTGTGTGTTTAGTTAATAGTATATAATAGACCTAAAATAGTTAAATACCTTTTTCTTTTTTTCTTTCTTCGTTGTTTTCTTAATTTGCTTTTCCTTATTTTTCTTATCATTTTCTGAATCTACTTTGTTTTCATTTATTTGATTTTTGTTTTCACCCTTTTTGTCCGTGTTCTGATCTAACTTAATCTCTTTTTTCTCCACTTTTGTCTGTAATTAATAAAATGTTATCAACATTTACGAATTAATTTTCTTTCATTCAATCTTAAAAAGATTTTATACATATTGCATGTTTTTTTTATCACCTACCTTTATCCTATCAAATAGTTCATCTAATAAACGTATGCTTTCCAACTGCCGTTGAGCTTTTATCAATTTTTGTTCTTCTCTTGCAATCTTCATAGAAACTTTATCCTCTTCTTGCTTACGAAACTTCGTAAGAGCTTTTCGTTTTCGTTTTTCTTCCCGGTTTCGTTGGCGGTTTATTTTCGCTATTGAATTCGCTTCTTCCTTTTTTCTAAGATCGAACAAAAATAATTTTAAAAATACAAATATAAATACATTTTACAAATTTAAGTACAAATATTAAAAACAATAAATCTTAAATTATTTATTGTTTAGTTGTAGTCAAATACACATATAAAACACATCTTTATAATATTAACATTTATTATATTAATATTATATTGATACCTTTGAGTTTAAAATTATTGCTCGTTTTTTATGGCTCCTGCACACAGAACGCGGCAACACTTGTTGCACGGCAGAAATTAGCGCCAAAACCCGTTTATCGCTTTTCCATAAAAGTGAAAAAATGATTGACAGATTTCCGCCATGCAATAAATATTATCCGCATCCTGTCTACAGGACTCATTAGCCTTTGTAGCCTTCTACATTTGTTTAACGGAATATATCTTAAAGTATGTTTGTCATTAGAGCTTACTTTTGTTCCTCTTGCCGTTTTCTTTCTATTTCTTCTCTCTTCTTCATTTTCTCCGCTGCTAAATTGTCTTGTGCTATTAAACGCTTTCTTTCGAAGTCACGATGTGATATCGAACTGTCACTCAAATGTTTAGTCTTATCAAAATCAACCTGTACAAAAATATTTCAATTACACATCAAAAGATTAATCTTTCTTTTTTTTATTCTACTTATTTTTCAAAATAATTTACCGTACAAATCAATATATTTAAAATATGTTATATTAAATCCAATTTATAATTAATAAAATTCCAGAAATTAGATTACAATTATTACATTAATATTGATGCAGAAAAAAATGTAGATATCGCAAAGAGATATTTTATATTAAAAATTACTTTTAGTGTTGCGGTTAATGAATTCTGACCATCCTTCTTCAGCAGCTTCATGCCGCGCAGAGCATCCATCGCCCTGACAAAATCCATGTATTCGACATATTGTACGTACACGTCAAAAAATATGCCGTCTTCAAAGCTGAATTTATGAATATTATTACCGAGCCGCATCCTGGATCTGTAAGGATCCGCTGCAGGCACGTCAACTTTCCTCAATTTACCCCATTTTTGAAAGATTTTCGTGATGAGTGGCTCATTCGGTACATTTGTATTATCTTCGGTAAACCATTTAACTGGTAAACCAGTAATATGAATAGTGTCTGGTCTTTCACCGGCCTTTAACTCATTCATATGTTTTGCATCTCTAAAATATGAATTCCAGCTATGTTTGGTTGGAAAGTCATCCTTCGTCTCGGCCGCACGGACCTTAATTAAAGTCAAACATGAATTCACACAATTTCGTTTTTATACAATAATAAGTTAATTACCATTATATTGTATAAATAAATTAAATAAGTAAAGAAGGGCTAAAAATAATCAAAGTTAAATAGTCTAATAATACTTATACATAAAATTTAAATAAACTTATAAACTGTGCGTCGATTTCTGTCGAATTTGAAATGTAGTTGAAAATTACACGAAGATTATTAGTCATCAAGATTTAGCCTCAACCGTATTTAACTCTTTTTACTTATTTAATATTTGATGTCTAATATTTGACTTAAAGATCATTATCTTTGTTGTTATTTACAAAAATATCTCCTTCTGTTTGTTCTTTAGCCCTTTACATATTGTTCATTATTAATTAATTTCCAATGAAACTCAAGCTATAAATTTCACTGAGCTTAATTGAAAATGTATTACGTGTTTACCTTGAGAACATTGGAGAAACCAGATAGATTTAACTGTTGCAAGTTCAGCCTGGCCAGCACTTTTGACAACCTGGATCGGTCCCGCAGGTCGCCCTCCAAACGGATGAATTCCAAGGTGCTCTTGGCCACTTTTAGGGATGCGAATTCGTCTGGCAGTATAAGCGCGCGTATCTTCTCCATTATCTCCCATGTCGATATAGTTTTGCCTGTTTATAGCGCAGTTAAGAGTCTGTAAGAAGCTATCTTTACTAAAGCTGTTACAAGTGCTCGTGACATCACACGGATCACTTGGGATCATGGTTTTTCTTCCAACAGATGCTATGTTATTCTCCTGTTATTCTCCACTAGAGACCATCGACGGCATAAATGTATAATTGTGATAGACTCTTTATGGTATGATTTTGTTGCGACAATTTTATTTCTCAATAAAAATGTTATAAATTAGTTAAAATAATAGATTACTAGTAAACAGTGTTATAAAGATGATTATCATTGCTCAAGTAAATGCTAAACAAAAGTAACAAAGCGCTGGAGTAATGAGAATACAAAAATTTGTTCAGAATTAATACCAGGTATAAATTAAAATTAAAGAGATTAAATGTCAGTATTTAATTAATATTAAAAATATGTATATTTTATAATAAGAATATATAAAATGATGAAAGTTGAAAAAGAATTAAAGCTCATAAATTGCATATTATTTTTGTAATAAAAACAAATTGTAATTTCAACATTAATACTAAATTTATATGATAATTTTAATTTTTTACGATATCAATCTTATAAAAAAAAAAAAGTTTGCTTTTTCTAGAAACTTATTACCATAATACAGCTCTCTCATTTAATTCTTGAAATTATAAAGAAAAAATTAATATCTTTAACAGCCTTAACTTTCATAACATAAATGTATTCTAATAAAAAGACACCTAACATACAGAAGCATATAAAGTATAATATATATATACATATGTATAATAAATAGAACATCCTCTAATTTTAATTTTAAAAAATATCTTAAATGTTATTAAAATAAAAAATAGTCATATAAATCCAATAGATAGAAATATATTACAATTAATAGGAAATCTATTTCTCTTTTCATAAGGAAATGTTAGCATTATAGATAAAATTTATTATACTCCATTAGGTTTGTTATTTCAAAATTAATTATAATAAATTACTAATTTTAATGAATATTTTAATTATAATAATTTTAAGATGCATGATAAGAAAAGGATAATTAGAGCTAAAGCATAGTCCATAAAATGTAAACATTAATTTAAATACTTGTTCAAGTTCTGTTGACTTGACTCCTATTGTTTAATTTTGATGCTACAATGTATAGTTCCGAATCTATTATATAATATAGCACAATATTTAATATCAAAGTATATGAAATGATTTTAAAAAGTAAAATTTGAAAATTAAAATTCACAAACTCTGTACATTATTCTTATAATAAAAATGTACTGCAGTGCCAATTTGAGAAAGAAGAAGGGAACAAAAGGCAGAAAGAAGAGAGAGTCGAGATCCATCCTCCGGAAAGGAGGCTACTGATACTGACGATGTTGTGTTTACCTGGAGTCTTCAGTTGGGGCAGACTGACTGACACGTTAACTTTGGCAAGCGGTTTCAGATAAAGTGCGTGTGACGGATACAACGGTACAATGTCGCTCAGATCCCTACAGCTTCGAAATCGATTAGCAACCTCGCTACTGGGAGTTTCACCTACCTGCTTATTGTCGCTCATCGCCGGTTGAGAAAAGCTAATTGTAGCTATGATTTACGATTTAAATAAGACCGAATGATTCTCACTCTCTATAAATCTTACGCTCGGACGTCTCTTACGACAAGCTGGCAAGATGAGAACAACTCAGTAGAGAGGTTACGAAGATCTTCACGGGATGATGCTTGACTCTGTTACTACTCTATTGCGGCACTACTGACTACTGTGGATTATTACTGATTACAACGCGACCACGCTACTCGAAAAATCGCGAACACGCGAGCGAGTCGATTAAACGATGGTCTTCGTGGATGATCTTCGGTGCGTACGCATCAATGCGCATCCTTCGTGATTCCAATTATTCTCTCATTCATATGCCGGCGCTGAGAAAATTATTTTGAGGGGGAAAAAGTGTAAACATGTGTGTATGATACATATATACATACACCGAGTCATCCGTCACTGAGGTCACGTACGTGTGAACCATGATATAAGAAGAAAGAAGAAAGGTATATCATTGCGCATAGTAATGGCAGTACAACGAGCGGAACCAATGGTTGCGTTCAACGGACTCAACAGTTGAATGAGCGCTCGCTATTATTGGTGAATTCTTTTAGATCATCCAATCAGAATTTTTAATCTAGAAGAATGCACCAATAATAGCGAGCGCTCACTCAACTGTTGAGTCCACTGAACGCGCCCAATGAAATTTAGGTCCAAATATACCCGCGCAATTTGAATACGTAATAATCACATATGGTCATATCATCATATCTTAAAATTGGCGTGTCACGCTTCTTTGAAGCCTCTATTCGTTGAGGCAGTTAAAGTAATCCGAAAATGGTGAATTTTGGTAACAAGGAATTTTCGGGGACGCTCTTTTAAAAACATGGTCAAAATTATGATAATTAAAAAAGACTTATCCAATATGGCGGACGGAAAAGATGCGAAAATCTTAAAGGTTTTCCGATTTGTAACACCCCTAAGTGATTATTTTACACTATTACGAAAAGTATAATAAACATATGGTGGACAAACGAAAATAATGGGTGGACAAACGTGGACAAACAGTGGACAAACGAATGCAATAATGATTTTACCAATATTCGCATTTAGGGGTGTCAACTTCACAGAGCTGCTTTGTGAAGTTGGAACCTCTAAATGCGAATATTGGTAAAATCATTATTGCATTCGTTTGTCCAATGTTTGTCCACGTTTGTCCACCCGTTATTTTCATTTGTCCACCCTCCAAAAAAAAGTTATGCACAAAAAAAATTGTAACACCCCCAAGTGATTATTTTACACTATTACGAAAAATATAATAATCATAGGGTAGACAAACGAGAATAATGGGTGGATAAACGTGGACAAACAGTGGACAAACGAATGTAATAATAATATTACCAATATTCGCATTTACAGATTCCAACTTTACAGAGCTGCTTTGTGAAGTTGGCACCTTAAAGCGAATATTGGTAAAATCATTATTGCATTCGTTTGTCCACTGTTTGTCCACGTTTGTCCACCCATTATTTTCGTTTGTCCTCCCTATGTTTATTATATTTTCGTAATAGTGTAAAATAATCACTTGGGGGTGTTACAATTTTTTTTTATGCATAACTTTTTTTTGGAGGGTTGACCAATGAAAATAACGGATGGACAAACGTGGACAAACAGTGGACAAACGAATGTAATAATGAACTGAGCACATAAATAGAAGGAAAGTGACTGTTAATGGTGGAACCAATCAGCAATCGTTACAACATTGTCTAGACTCTGTTATAGGGACTCTAGTCAGATGCAGTGTGAATCCAGCATAATGCGTGGCCAGACATACGCGTGGCCGGTATTCATAGTCAGTTCTTTATTTCATGGCATTAATAACGTTTTTCACCGATTGATGCACTGCGCGCACGGTGCGAAACCTATATTCTCATCTCTCCTCATAAACTTTCTTTTCATCTCTAATTGTTTAAAGAGTGCGAGAATATAGGGTACGCGCGATTGAGCGCACAGACATGTAGTTGTTTGCTTATTATAACATACAGGATCTGTAAAAAGAACATATTATGAAATTGGATTGTATTGCGATACGCTATTATGAATGTTATTGAGGAAGTATATTAACAAATGATAGGAGATTGCAATAAACACAGTAAATGCTTTGTGTTTTTTAATAATTGAAATAATAGTTGAAAAAAATATATAATTTTTTAATGTAATAAACTATTATAACAAATATAAAATTTATCGTGAAATTCAATGCAACTGATTATATTAAGAAGTTTTACATTAATTTTCTTTATTTTTTTTTTTATTACTGTTTTTTTTTTAAGATTAGATACAATAAAGTATTTAAAGAAGTATCAAAAATTTTAATCTTATTTGTATAAAGTTAAATTTATATCTTTCTCTATATCGAAAATGGATGTTACATATCTCTCGTACCATAAAATGTAAAAATTATATAACTCTTTAAAACTCAATTTGCAATAGTAATTAATCAAAATCTTAACACATTGTATGTACACGAATGGAATAATATAACACTGGTATTAAATGACATTTTCAAATTAATACGTATATATATTACGGTAGTCTCTACATTAAAAAAATATATATCAATTTATTATAATACATTATACAATGTATTAAATCATCAAGGCTTATGTTTGTGCAGCGTGCTGCGTTACGTGAATTAAAATTTCTTATTATGCAAATTCTTTCATTTTTTTTTCTATCTTGTCATTTAATAACAATTTTTATTAAGTATTCAATGGAAGATTTGCACTCGTCATTTTGCTTAGAGGTGTATGATATTCTTTTTCTAGGCCTATAAAAACTAGAGTTATTTGATGAGATGATAATTTATGTTTAAAAAAATGTAGCAATAAGAATATCTTGGATATTTATACACGCACATATATCATTGTGTAACAAAAAATTTACTGTAGGCAATGCAATAGTCTACAGTAAAATTAAAAAAGCTGATAAAAGTAAATGTGATCTCTCTATATTTTTCTTAAGATATATCTTTATTTAAATATAATTTGAATTAAGACATATTCTATTACACATTGCAATGTATACAACCAGCTATTCTAGTATGCAACTTACATCTTTAAAGGTATAGGATCAAATTGAAAAGGAAAAGCGATTATTTCCATCAATGTTTTGTCACTATAATCAGAGACGGCGATTATGTAATGGAAGGTGTGGTATTTCGTAATTATACAATAATTACCATAATAATTTCGTAATTATACATTATTTCTGAAATTATACACGTGTAGAATTCCGGATCTAAAAATCCAAAGAGGAATATATTTAATAATAAAGAAAAATAACGGGCTTAGAAGCAAATGTGTAACAAAGGAAATTTTAATAAATAATAATAAATATCCTTACATACGGTTCGACACTGATTGGGTCATTATCAATGTTACAATAAATTGCAGTTATCGAACTATTTAAAATCTACTAAATTTTTTCCATAACGCATTCTTCATATTCTTTACTATTGCGAATATATGAAAGTGGTAAAATGTTTAGAGTTCGTAAATAGTCAAGGCAGTAACAAAAGTAGTCTAAAACGTAATCGTTAACAAAGGATAAATTAAATAGTCAAGGTAGTAACAACAGTAGTCTAAAATGCAATTAACTTGAAATCTAATAATCTGTGTAAAATGTATTTTAATATGGTAAAAAAAAATGTTGCAAATCCATGAACAAGAAATAAGAGCGCAGACAACGAAAAGAAACATATTTTTTGATAAAATAATATAAAACTTAAAATAAAAATATAAGTTGATTAAATTAATTTTCTTGAGAAATTTGGGAAGAATTGGACAGAAATATATAATCAGATGCCAGAGAAGAGTTTCTGGCAATTCAAAAATAAATTTTTAGCCCATTCTTCTTAATTTACAAAAAATTTGATTAGTATCGTTAAAACATCACGCTCCATTCAGACAACATAAAAAACTATTTTCATATTTATTGACACAAAACATTCATAAATGTAAGTAATTAAAATTTTACTAAACGTGTTTATTCAACTTTTTATTACACATTATTCCACTGTAGAAACTTACAGTGTTGTTACGTTAGTAGAAAAAGATTCAGTGCAGGAATTTTTTATCTATACTACGTATATTGTCTATGATGAGCAGATATTGAATAAGTTACATACTACAAAAAAAGTAACATGTTCATAATTCTCAAGGTTAATGGCAATTAAGCAAACTTGATCGTATCAAATTTATGCATTGACCTAATAGACTATAGGAAACGATTATAAGATTGTATCATTGAATGACAAGTGCAAACCTCATATTGAATACCTAATTAAAATATTGATTAGTTGTTAGGATAAAGGAAAAGGAAAAAAGAAAATAGATTTTAGATTACAACGCAGTTTGCTGGGTAGTGCCGTATTAACTCATCACAATGACAAATTACTATTTTTATTCTTTTTAATGTAGACTTTTGCATATCGCAATACGAGTATATTAATCTGGAAATAGCAACTTAATTTCCGTTGGGATATGTATTTAGTAATAATGTTACATTTTTAATTTGGACATGTATTAGCCTAGTTTACATCCTACAGACATCAGCTTCAGTTGGAAATCTGCAAAGTTACTAGGTCGATTAAGTTAATTGAAGCTTGGTGACAATGACCTTTAAGGCCTCTCTACACGGTCAGTAATACTGTCAGTATCAACGAATATTGACAATATTATTGATTGTGTGTGGTTAATATTAATGGATTGACGTAGAATACTGACAATGATTTGGATTTAAATACATGCTTTTTCTTTAAGATCCATGTCGTCATAAATAATAATATACATCAAATCACGTCGAACTGAAGTGAAATATTATTAATAATACCTGATCGTATAAGATTGTAAAAACTAATGCATACTGTCAGTAATACTGATTAGTAATACTGACACAGTTTTACAGACCGTGTAGGGAGGCCTTTAGATTAGGGATCTTTTTCAAGATCCCTGACCTCTCTTAGGCCTAATTAGCTTTAACGCATGTAAACGCAGGCAGACGGCTTAAAGGCGTAAAGTAGACTAAAAACACCTTTATTTTGTTCAATAGATGGCACTCACGTGAGACTAAATGCGATCTACATTAGGCCCAAAAATATTATAGGTCTATATGGGGTAAACGCTTTGTTTGAGATCTCTCTTAGATGGGGTAAAGATCAGGGTAAATGTCGTTGGATGTAAACTAGGCCATTGTTTAAATTATGACCTACAATAGCAAATTGATGGTATTAAAAAGGTATGCTTTTTTCATTTTATGATAAGAGATGTTTAAATGATACCTTTTTTCTTACTCAAAGAAACATTCATTTAAAAAAATTCAAAGATTTTAATTTAAACCTATT